CCGTGATTCGATGCCGTGTTGCTCGTTCGAGGAAGGAGCTAGTTTCGTAACTGTGAACGGGGGAGAAGAGAGGTTTTGATATTCGAATTGGATCTTCGATGATTTGCACGAATAGCTTATTGTATTAGAGTTACGTATGAAATGAATAGAGTTTTTTAAGAGTACTTACTTGTAACTTACGATCGATGATGCAGTTGTAATTTCAACTCGTTGAATTAATTTTAATTTCAATGCGCATGATTCCAGGTGTGGTTTCAAAATCGTCGAGCAAAGTGGAAAAAACGGAAGAAGTGCGGCCCAGTTTTTCGTTCCCCACCGGGTCCGTTGCTGCCATCGCACGGCTTACCCCCGTTTGGACCGATGAGCTCTGATCTCTGTGGTGCTGGTATGTTTAGCGGACCTCCTGAAAGATGGACAATGGGAACAGGTTAGTAAAAGATAATTTTGTATCGTTTATAACTATATCTTGGTAAATGATCAACGTTATGTCTGTTTAATTTACAATTAAGATCGATCGAATCATCCGCGTTCATTTTGTGTTCGTTTTTATGGTAAAATCTTGCGAAAAAAAGAACGGATCGCGAGTCGATTATTAAATCTACGGGCGACAAATTGCCCGCTTTTACATTAATTACGTTCGATTCGTCGTGTCATCTCGAATACGCATAATCTTGTTATCAGCGTTTCACACGCGCGGTTTCACACACGGGGGAGAATACGGTGTCTTGAATAATCGGACAGTAGACGAAGTCTCGACAGTATTCCACTTCTAATTTAATCTCGCGTGTCCATTGTTTCGAACGGATTAAATTGCCCGTATTGGTTTTACAGGCATCCGCCATGTCATATTTCTTTTCTATCTCGCGTTTCTTTCTCTCGATCGACAAAATCTCTCGTCATCCTTTACAGATACGAGTCTCGAATCTGAGCGTATGTCTAATTAAATCCGGTTGTTTCACAGGTCTTGGACAACTGGGACAAGGAGGAATGGGAATGAGTGGTTTTGGCCAAAGTTTAGGACAACTTGGTCAGCAAAGTACGGGGAGCCTCGGCTCGAGCTTGGGTCTTGGTAATTCTGGACTCCCGATCAGCAGTCCGTCGCAAGCCGTCTATCAAGCCAGTTATGGACTGAATTCCCTTGGTAAGTTAATCTTATACATGGATTAACGCAACCTAATCCTCAAGCCAACGAGGAATTCTTTGAAATCGAGTTTACAAGCTTCTCGTATAATTTTATCTAACTCGAGGTGTTGCGTTATTATCTTGTTATTAGAAATTAAAAACGTAAAGTAAAAACGATATATTCACACGATATCATTTCAAGAATCAAAAGAAGGGATCACGGTGTTTATGCAACTTTAAATGACGACTCAACGTTTTACAACTCGTGATCCTATGAGGCCGTTGAGTATTCCAGGGATAATAAAGTTTTATGCGTTAGTCTTTAAAACGTGATTTAGTCTGGCTTCGATCCGCAAACCGTTCTTTTAGGAGAGGAATATTTTCTATCTTCGAAAAAGAGACGAAATGTTAACGTGGCGGACAAACGCAGACGCTTATAGGCGGGCCGATAATCGTCTTGCCAAACTTTTGGACCGTGGCCCTCTAAAAAAGACGATGTGCAAACAGTATCGGACAGAACCCGGTACCTCTTTGACGAAGTCGTTAAACGTTACGGTGCATTATCGCTCCAAGGGGTTATGCGCCTGCATGTAAGGAATTTGAGACAGAAACATAAACTCCGTCCTCTCGTCTGTTTACGCAGGCAAACTTCGAGCCTGGTCTCGCACCTAGGTGCGAGATCTTTCGCTGTATGTTTACCATAACATCCCGATGCAACCTGTCTTGGTTGAGTTACGCTTCAGCTTATCCAAAGACCTTGTACCTTCACGAGACGAGACGTGTGTGAAATTCTTTGTCTCACGAAATCCTGCCCATCGTACGAGTTCGGTCTTTCTCTTCGAATATACGAATGATACGGTCGAAAGGTTTTAAGAGAACATAGGCGCGAACGATCCGAAGAAATGGAAAAGACGAGTCCAACGATTCGACCAGTCTCCTCCTCTCGTTTTCCACCAGAATGTGATGCGTAGTGACTGGAAGAGAAAGAAGAAGGTTTTTTTAAAAAATGCGCATAAAGGATGATTTCTTGATCAGAGCTCGTTAAGGGGAATATTCTAAAAATTCTAAAGGGAAATTGTTATGAGAAATGGTTTTTGGAAATGATTCGTAATTCGTTGAAGAAATTCTATCTATCTACTCTACTATACACCGTCTTTTTCGATTATCCGCTTTTATAATTCGATCAATAATTCATACTTAAACGTATCATATCGAATGTAGTCGTCGTACCAAATGTATATTGACACGTATAAATGGATTAATCCCGACTGATATGGATCGTTATTCCCTGAGGTCAACAACTCTTAAGATTAATTTTTTCAACGCAGACTTTTTCTCGATAGTTTCTCTGCAGAGAAAATTTTTCTATTTCTATAATCCGCTTATTCATAAATTACTTCTTCAGCGATATCGAATAACAATTGAAAAGTAGTATTTGTAATAGTAAAAGGCAATAATGTTATATAAATGGATTCGAAAGAGAAGTCGATGAAAAAAAGTTTAAAATCGGATATTTTATAAAGTTTTCAAAAGAAATCTCGTCTATTTCATTTCGCGTTGTGCACTTGCAATATCGTTTTTTTTTTTTCTATCCAATAATCAATTTAACAGTTTATTCTATATTTACTCTCGACGCTAGACTGTTCAAACCGAGGCATACCTTTATCGGATCGATGAAATTCTTGAAATTGGAAAGATAAGGGGCGTTAAATCGTGTGACGAAATTGCCATTGGACGTAACATAATTTCACAATTGTACGCATTTACGTGAGCGTGTATGAAACGCGAACACGTACCTGTGTACATACGTAACACGTACAAGGTGTCAATTATCACGTATTATCGCCGCGGGGCAGGTAGCGTCAACCGAAAGGAGAGGAAAAAAAAAAAGAAAAAATGCCGTTCCACAGGCGTAATTCATCGTCCGTGTGATTCGTGTGATCTCGGTTTAAGGTGGATGCCAATACTGTAGTTCGAAGCTGGCCGCAGTCAGTTATCCGCTTTTACTTGTCGGTAATGCCTAGGGCAAACACCTTTTAGAGAAACGTCTTATTTTTTTGGTTTTCGATGATGATTAGCATCGAACGGTAGCGTGGTCGAAGTTTGCCGGTTTTCAAGTCGATTACGGAGCTCTATTTTGTTTATTCTCGTCTACCAGCCAGTGGACGAAAGAACGTCTATGAGGTGTGAATTAACGTGGCCGAAAATGCCCGATTTTCGAGTCACGCGCGACCCCCCGAGTTATTTCTGAGGATGTAACAACGAGCCATTTCCACGAACAAGATTTGCTTTTTAAATCATTTCTTTTTTTTTTTTTTTTTTTTGTTTGTTTCCCGAGGTAACGAAGAAGAACGAGGTAAAGAACTTTTCAATAATGGGAAAGATTCACAGAATAATCCAAGACACGTTGTTTCAAGTTTTTACGAAAATGTAACAAAGACGTTTCATTATTCCATTCGTTGTCGAATTGTCGACATTCGAGATGATAAAGAGACGTTGTAGAAATCACGTCCTTCGATGCCATTAGCTATTTTATTCTTCATCGCTGAAAAGGATGGATAGTCCTTCGCAAACTTGTACTTCCACCGCAATACAGCCATAAAAGGATCCCTTTTCCCCGTTGTCCCCCCGGCAAGCCCTCCACCATCGAGGAAAGGCGGAAACGACTTTACGACACCCAGTAGCGCACCCCACGCACTTTGTGAACCTACCGTATTAATATCTCTCCTTGGAAGGGAAGGAAACGTTCTCTCGCGCACCTGCGTTATCATACCTGTAAATTGCCTGTGTTTCGCTACTTGGTCCGTGTAATAATAACAAATTTTAAACAGACTACGCGCGACTGGATATAATCTATACGCGAAGCTTAAAGACGTTTCTCCTCTTATTCGTTATGATACGTGATAAACTTATTTGCATGCAATCGAAAAAAATGGTGAAAAAAGAGAAGCAACCTTTATACATATGTGTATACTCTAACTTTCAGGGGGAGTACACGTGTCTGCGTCCCGAGGCTCGCCTCCAGGGGGGTCCAGCGTGGGCGGTGGTCAGGGTGGTGGTCTAGGATCGGCCTTGAACTGCGGGCAGGGCTCGCCTGGGACGACTTCCGGGAGCGGAGGCGGTGGAGGTGGTGTTTCCTGCGTGGCTGCCGATGTGAACGCGACCGAGGCGTCGGATTGGAGAGGCGCGCACAGCATCGCGGCGCTCAGGCGTCGCGCCTCGGATGCATCGCAGCAATACAGTCCACAGCCACCGCCACCACCCGCAGGACCTCCCCAATATGCCCAGGACATGGAGTACAATTCCGTTTACTGAGGCCCAGCGAGTTTCGCTCTTAATTCTACGATAAATCCTATCGGGGAAATGTTTCAAGGATTCCCTTCGTGGATGGTACCGAGCGGTCAACATGCAGGGTAGCGGGTCGGAAATAACGAGAGAAGAAAGGACACGTTGTTCTACGATATTTCTCTCTAACTCGTGATTGTCACTGAGAGATTTGCCACGACATATGTACAATTTTAATTTTCAATGATTTTAATGATTGAACGAATATTCGTGGCAAGGGATTCTGTCCATCGATATCACCGAGTTGTTATTTTCATTCTCGAGCTACGTGTATGGTTAAAGAAGAAAAAGTTTAACGATAGATTTTGTTGTTACTGGATATATTGAACGTATCGAAATGAATTAGAAGTATTATAGAGCAACAGAGACGTGTGAAAAATTCATCACTGATAGAAAATAAATAAAGAAGATAAAATAAGCTGCGACAACAACGAATTTCGGTTGTTTTCTATAGTGATAACAAAAAGACGTGTAGTCTCAACATTGGTTTTCATCGTTGCTTGGCTGGTCAATTTACAATCACGGATAGGAGAGTGACTTTATAGAACTTTTATCGGTTTCACCAGTGATAATAAGTCACGCTGTTGTCCCTTTCTTCTGCCAACGATACGTGTAATCGTGATATTCGGGTAATGAAAACAGTGAGTCGTTAAATTGTATGAATTAATCAAGAAACATTGAGAAAATCCTTAAAAACGTGAATGATAAAAGTGAGAGAATAATAAAAGGAGAAGGCTTCGTTAATTAAAAATGCATTAGTGAGTTCTTCAAGAGGATTCGTGTCACGTTGAAGTTGTGCAACGCTGAAAAAAAAAAGTGGTTACTTCATAATATACATATATTATACTTTATCATGGATATTGGTCGAACGATTTGCTACGTTCCATGCATTTGTAACATGACTGATTCCAAATTTAAAATGTATACACCGATAATTCAATTCTTACAATTGAATCGAATGTTTAATTTTATCGATATTTTATAACCGCTTACTGCGCGTTTATTTCGTTAATTTTTTCATGAATTACTCGCAAATATTTAGTCGAAATCTAAATAAATTATCTAAAAAAAGAGAGTTCGTTTTAGAATTCAGAAATATTATTTTGCATTTTATGTTTTTTCAAAGGAATCAATAAATTCTGGCACCACTGCTTGGTGTAACGAAAAAGTATACGACAAGTTATTATAATATTGTATGGCATTGTAAATATAGTAAAAAAATTAATGTAACAACTATGATCGATTATAATTATTACTATTAAAATTAATATTATCACTGATAACTTTTTCAGAAAAATTTATTTCGGTTTGTTTATGATTTCCTTTACATATTTTCAAAAACCAAAGCAAAAATAATTTTCTGAAAATTTAATTTACTTGAACTTGATCTTATTTTAAGAGAAATAAGAAAGAGAACCCGATAGCTTTAAACTTTAATAATGAAAAAAATGACAAATTATATTATATATGTATAAGTTAAATCGCAAAAAGAAATGAAGTTAACCATTCTTTGTTCGGTTTTATACTTCGAACGCAGACTGGTTTGATTTCTGAGATGTCAAAATATAAGTAAATGCTCGAGAGAAGACAAATGTATTGAACAAGGAATTTTCACTTGCTTTAAAATGACCAATATGTGTGTGTAATGTTGAATCTTGCATGAGAGGAACAATACTTTGAGTAATTAAAATGCAAGTTGGCACTTAACACATATTGCATTTCCCGAATAATCTTCTAGAATGCTACAAAAATATAAATTGTTTTGTTGTTGTACACCAGAACATAAGATTTTGTAAATAGAATATACGTCTAATATTAATAATAATTGAATATTGTAAGCGAACACGATATCCCATTTACATACGCGAGTATACTTGGACATTGTGATATTTTAGGCCCGCTGTTCCATTTTTTTTTTTTTCAACAGCGACAAGCCGTGTATATGATATTGCAAAAAAAATAATAAACAGTACCATAATAGTGATCGCGAGCGATAACGAATGTCGATTATTCTAGTTACGAATTTATGGTAGACTTAGGTAAAAGTTAGTGATAAATATGAAATGAACGATATGCAGTTGTCAGTGTATTACTACGAAACGTATACGATTTTTAATGTACAAAAAAAATAGTATAACAAGACGACGATGTTTTTTCGAAATTTCATCCTGCTGGTACGATTTGTGTTCGGGATGAAATAACTTATATTCGAATTTATCCTAAGCGATTCTTTCATTTTCTTCTTGTTCTGATTTTTTTTTCTTTTTTTTTTCTTTTTTTTTCTTTTAGAAATATTTTCTACATGTTACTGACTTGCACATTTTTATACATATTTAAGTAAGATTAAACACTTACATATAAGACATTTTCAAATTATCTAGCGAAATTACATTATGTCTTTCGTTGAATATGCGAAAGATATAATATTTATTTATCAGTTGCATGTGTGGAAATAAAATAATTTCACGAATCCAAAGTGTTATGCTTGCTAACAATTGAAACACTTGCGTAATATTTTGCAATATCATAATCAATTATTATATATTTCGCGTAAACATTATTTTTCTTTTTTTCTCGGCTCGTACGTTTTACAAACAATGAAATATATTTGATAGAATATATCGCAAAAAAATGGACTGATCTTATGCATCTTTAACACAAATCATTAATCGTCAATGACCTTAATTAGTGATAAATAGAAAAATTTTAATTTTTATCGTTGTATAGTTGTGTATAGAAGACAACTAAGTGTGTAAAATAAATCATTATCAAAAAATCAACGTTTTTATATATTTTTAATAATTTTGTTGAACGAATCTTGACTAACAATCAAAAAATTTTTACTGGAATACTCTCAAAAGTATAAACATCATATTTTTATTTGAAAATATATACATTTCTATATTCATGAATACATATATTTGTTGTAATTATATATAAAAATATTGATACAATACAATAATCAAAAAAATATAGATTAAAATAAAAAAATAAGTTAATATTTAGAATTAAATAGAAAAGATAGAATATAACGTTATGCAGAATATCCAAAATTAGTATAATCAAAGATGAATCTAACAGGAGATATTTTTTCATATAAAAATAAGTCTAAAAAAGAATAAATATTTTTTCTTTGCTTAAAATCTTTATTATTAAAAAAATTAAAATGTACACGCATAATTTTTAATTTTTAATTTTTTCAAAAAACAATATTTAAAAAAAAATTTTATTCTATTGTTTTTATTTATTTATTATTATTTATTTATATATTTTTTGCTTTTATATACAGAATAATGTCATATTTTTTCATTTTCAATTCATAGTTAATTTTCATAATAGTCAAATTCTTGTATTTGAAAAGCTTTTAAATATAATTTATTCTAAAATAAAACTAAAAAATGAAACTAAAAACGAAAAAATTTCATTCTTTCTTTTCGACTCATTTTTATATATAAAATCATCTCTTATCCACTTATATTCCTATCCTATTATCAGACACCTTATATATGAGTATTATGAAAATATTAATACATTTAAAAATATTAAATGCAATTTCAGGTACTAGAAAAATATTGTTTTTATCGAACACATTTGAACAAATGAAAATTTATAAATATTAATTAATTTCAAAAATTTAAAACAAAATATTAATAAATCTTTCATATAAAAAAAAATAAAAAAATACAATTACATTAAGAAATATTATAAGTGTTGTTATCTATCTTATATGTTTTTAAAGCGTGTATGTTAATAATTTGTAATAAATATATGATTATACAATATAATTCGTAAATAGATAGTGATATTCAATACATATAGAATAAATTTGGTCATTTTTCAATTTATAAGGCCATTATTATCAGGTATATTATAATATTGAGATAAATATTCTCCAATTTATTTTTTTTAATATTAAAAAAAATAAAAGAATGATCTAATATAACATCAAATGTGTTCGAAATAAAAGAATCTTTAATCTTAATAATGATTATGTTTTATGTCTTATTTATCTTTATAAAAAAATTTGAATTCTTATATTTTCACTTTTTTTTTTTATTACTTATAAATTAATTTGAAAATATCATAAATATTTAAACTAAATTTGTTTTTAAAAACATAAAATCTACAATTACCGGCAGTTTATGGAAACACTAATTGCATGATAGAACATAGATATCTATCAAATTGAATATTTGATTAATCGATTAGATATAACGCGATTTCAAATATATTTTTAATATACATACATATATATATATATACTTTTCAGTGTATCTCATTCCTCAAATACAAAAGAAATGATTATCTAAAACATATAAGAGGAGAAGTTTATATAAAATGGAATTAATTATATTGAAATATATAATATAGCATTCGAATAATTGTACAATTATACATATACTTTCGATTTATCAAATTCGATTAGTTAAAATTAAATTAATAAAAATTTAGTTAATAAAAATCAATATCCAATGATAAAATCTTACTTCCGATATTTTTTTTAAGAATATAAATAATTAAATAATTAAATATACTTAACTTAATAAATGATAACTTAATAATGAAGATAATATTATGAAGCATCATTTTGAACATCTTGCAATTTCTATTTGTTGCAAGATAACTCTTATGAAGACACAGATTCAAATCTATATTATAAAATAGAAGGAAAGATAACATGTTTTTAAAAAAAATACATATTTTAAACTGTGCTTGATTCATTCAAAATACGTGTTTAACTCTATGAAATGACTTTTGTAAAACTATTCTCCGGATATTCATCTTCTGAGGTTTCTGGTTCCGTGTTCAATTTGCTAAAGTCTCGCGGATTTGGTCGTTTCTCCATTATCTTGAAATTTTTGCATCTTCTGTTTTCCAAAAGATTTGAGAGTCTAAAGTTTTCTCGCTTGTCCGATTCCCAGCGCATTCGCTTGTGCATTATTAATAAACATCCTGTTTATAAAAATAAGTAGTATTAGAAAATTTCTAAAAAAATAATTGATTATTTCATTTATTTGATGTAGCAAATAATGATGTCATGATTCTTTTTATCATTATTTTCAAATCTAACATAATTATATTATTTATTACTATTATAATTATATCATAATATATTATCTATAATTTTAATCAAAAATACAATATATAAATAACATGAGATAGCATCAAATTTAAGCATTACATATTTTTAAGCATCGTGCACTATATACTATTATTAATACTTACACGATCCATTGAAAATACTGAAGTTAAATAG